AGCGGTGACACATGGCGGTGACACACGGCGGTGACACACGGCGGTGACCCACGGCGGTGACACAAGGTGACGCAAGGCGGGTGACGACATCTCGGCCTGCTATGCAGGAAGACCTGGGATGACTTACAGCCTCTGATGGAGAGATCAGCAATTCAAACCTTGCTTGACAATGCTGATATCCAATAGATGGGAAACCAGCACCGATACAGTCGATCAGAGCAGCGGCACAAAGGAGGAAGCAGCTTGTAAGCCCGAATAAGTAGCAGACGCGCAGACATGCCACCACATTGCCCAGTCCAGACCGCAGCTGTAGTAGCTTCCTGTGCTATGTGTTCTGCATGTACTTGAACAGCTTCCCTCGCATATTCTGCGCCACTTGAGCGAGAGAAGCGGCTCTCAACACTGCTTCTCATTTGTACCAATTTGCTGACCCACCTCGACTCTGCCCGCGGCAGCTTGCTCTACAGGTCTCTAGGTGAGAGAAGACGGTGCATGGCTTGCCAGATCGTTCCAAAATTCGGAGTGACACATGCATGCTTTCAGTGTCCACTGGTTTCTTGCGACCATTTGCATGCCAGTCGTTCGCCATCTAGCTCCATCAGCGCCCAAGTGCATGCTTGACAAACTTGGTTTTGAGGTTGCTTTGCAGAGGCTTTCGAGGCCCCGCGATACATCCTGCCATGCTTCGCGGCTCCGCAGCCGCAGGAGGGATGCGTTTACCAACGCATGCATTCATATAAGTCTTGCATCAAGCACATCCCGAGTGCTCCGCAAATGATTTTGGTCATAGAGAGGCGAGGCAAGTGTCCTTTCGGCAGCCTCTCGTTGCCTCTCGTTGCCTCTCGTTCTCCGGTCTGTCGGCCTCCGCTTCAGTCAAGCCACCGCAGCTTTCTCCGTGCACCCGTTGATTTTGTACCGCTCCTGGTTGCTTTCTGGCTCGGCCTTGTACTCTAGCTGGGGCTAAGGGGTTTGGGGACAGGTTTCTGAGGAGTTTGTTCACCTTAATGTTGCCCGCAGGGTATCAGTCATTTGCTGTTCGCTCACTAGCAGTCCCACGGTGAGGGTGGGGGCTGGGGTGAGGCGGGGATCAACATCCATGACTCCCTTACGAGTTTGAAGTTGCGCGACTCCATTGTCACGTCACATCGATTGCAGGGCCATTCTGAAAAGCATGGGGTCTGGGTCCGATGCTGCCAAATAGTTCTTCTGCTGTACCTGTTGTCCAGGCCTGGCCTTAAATCACACCCCACACTGAAAGCCCTGAACACGCTGTTTGGGCACAAGATGGTACAACAATGTCCCACCAAGCTCAAGGCCCTAAGGCTACGTTACCTACCGGCTGTTCTTGCGCGGATCTCCCAGCTAGGTTCCCGTGTGCGAGCCCAGGTGCGTCTTTCGGCGTGGGGGACTGTGCAGTGCCTGTTTGGGTGCTGTCTTGAAACAGTGGATTCCATGTTCCTTTTGGCAGCACGGCAACATGCTACAGCCTCGCTCCAGACCTACTTCGCTGGCTGCACGAGTAAGTGCTCAACCACGAAACCACCAAAACAGGTTCCCGCCGCAGAGGCAGGCAAAGTTCAGCGGAGAGTTCTTACTTAAGAAAGCTCAGAACTCAACATGGCGAAGTGGTTGGCCCTCGTTTGCCCAGGGGAGGGTCCCGGTTCAACTTCCCAGTCCACACTGTCTGCTGAGAGCTTGAAGTCAAGCCTCGGAGGTCTCCGTTACTTTATTACAGCTTGAGAAGGCACAAGCGACTCGCTCTTCGCCCAACGGTTAGGACCCTAATTTGGTGAGCTGAGAGAGCTCCCTAAACACCCAGATGGTGTTTACAGAGATGCAAAACAGGCATCTCTTTCTCAGGCTTTCTCTCCACTCCGGGGCCGAGACCTTTTCTGCGCGCAATCTGTTCCGCTGTCTTCAACGTGCCCTAAATGTGCCCGAAGAGCACGAATCTTAGATCGGCCCTCAGGAAGTGCCAGGAAACGGCAGAGTCTGCGGCATGTCCGGAATGTGCGGAAAGTGTCAGTGGGAAAATGTGGGAAATTGGGAAATGTGCAGAGCGGCAACCCCACGGTCAGGGCTCTGTACGCTCGGTACACTTTTCACCGGTCGGATCTGATGCGTCTTGAGGCATTTGTCAACCCTCCTTTTGCACGATGCAGGATACCGTAGACAATTAGTCCTTTTGGCGTTTGCAAGTTCCTTTCGCCTCTGGTGGCCATGCTCTCGAGCTGTGAGACTGAGAAACCTCGGGTGCAGGATCTGGAGAGCGATGCCTGGTTTTTTCGGCTTCGGCTGGTCTTGCACAGTCACTTCAAAGCGGACATGCGTATCGACGAGCATGGTCTTGTCGAAGTTCACGCCACTCCGTTGGCCCGCCCCCCTCGAGTCGTAGAGCACCATACGGAGTCACCCCCCCACCACGTAGCTGCTGTAGATCCCGCTGGGGGGTGATGCTCGTGGCGGTCTAAGTATAGCTTTCGGTGAACCCTGCGGCCTGCGTAGCGGCCTGAGGCGCTTGCGCCTGACTGTGGGCCGCTGCGTGCTCCGCTCGCAGTGTTCTGCTGTGTGTTCTTTGCAGCGCGTTTCTAAGAGTCGAAGAGAGTCCCGAGGAGGGGACCGGCCAGTGACCACCAAGGGACGGGAGCCGCGCATTTTTCCTAGCTTGAAAACACCCTCTGCTCTTTTTCGCTTTTTCAACTTGCGAAACCTTACCAAAGAGAGAGCCAGGACGTTCTTAACAAGTTCTTAGCTCGCGAAGATCTTGGCATCTTGGCTTGAGATGGACTCCGGCCTGTCTAGCCTGTCACTGAGAGCCGACAGCTCCGAATGTGCCGCGCCACACAGCCGAAGCTTTGGAAGTTTTTGTGGCCTTGCACCGATGATAGGTGCTCTGACCCGTGTCGCAGTGTCATGAAGGTCACGAAGTGGCATGTCTGGGGCATGTTCAGCACATACCAGGGGAGGGCTACAATTACCAGCTCTGCGCACGCGCCGGCATGGCTCTTCAGACTCACAAGCGACTGTGAAGTTCGAAAAGTTGCAGGCAAGGAGGAAGAGTAAGGCATCTAACTGACTTGTGCTGACGTGCTACCGAGTTCTGCAGCACCCTGGCAACCTTTGAAAGCTTGGTGACACAAGCTGGCTCAACTCGGTAGACAGGGGGTTGGAGCTCCATCAGTTTCAGGAGTTCCATCAGGAGTTCCTTCGGCTCCGCCCCGTTTCTTTCACCGGCCTCCTACACCTGCCGCTTTCCAGACAGGCGTCGGCCGCAGCGATGCACATCCAGACAGTCAGTGCCCACCTACGTGCACTCGGAAGCGCACTCGGAAGTGCACTCGGAAGCGCACTCCAACCACTCAGACACTTGTCCTACTGTGCTCCGACACCTGCCTAGCCAAGAGACCAGATCCCGTGATAAACCAGTCCTCGGAACCGTCCATGCTTCGCTTCGGTGGGAGATCGAGACACACCATTTAAGTGTTGCCCGTTGCCTCACAGGTGCGAATCGCTATTTAGTCCATGCATAGACCAGCCTACATCAGCCCACCTCATTGCTCACGTGCAATCGCTCTCTTGTTGAGGCTGCTGCTGGCCATAAGTCGTGGTGCCATTGATCCAGTTCACCCCATGTTGGGGGCAGAAAGGCCACAACCTCTGAAGCTTCGGATTTCCGGCTTGCAGCAAAGCAGCTAGTGAGTATTCCGCTGGATTCATACGGTGCCAAGAAGTCACAGCACACATGGCGCGCTGTGCCTGGTAACCTTGTGTTCAGATGTGCTCTTTTCTCGGAGTTCTCTGAGTTTTTTACTGCCATTGAGTAGGGAACTTTGCTTTAGATCTCTGTTGTCTTACAGCGCCCTGCGGCGCTCGTTCCTTCCATTGGCCCACCTGTCATTGTCTCACACATCATCGTGTCAGGCGCGCACGCAGACCAAGTATTGCAAAGAACTGCCGATGTATGCGGCCACCCACCGAAGGAGTCAAGTCGTCGAAACTCTTGATGCGGTTTGATACCGATGTTCCCTGAGCATCCTGGGTATTTGCTTCCGTCATCCGCTTCCACATTCTCAGGCAGCCGGGCCTCCGGCCATCCGGCAAGCGAGGCACGTGACTGTTTCGCGAAATTTTTTCGAGGGGCTTCGCCTGAGCGTCTCAGAGTGTGTCGGAGTGTCCCCCAAGTGTCCCAAGAGGCAAGTGTCCCAACTCAGAAGCCAAAAGTGCTGATGGCAAATTTGTGCAGCTTGGCCACGAGAGTCGCTCTGATGTCCTCGCCGCAAGAGGCATATGCTTGCAATTTTCCCAGGCCCAGCCCAGGCTTAAAGGTAGAGAGGTAGGGCGTCTAAAGGTCGGGCGTCTTAGAAGGTTCTAATGTTAATCATCCTACGCAGCTCTTTCTGACTTTCGGGCCCAGCTGGCCCAGCTGGCCCAGCTTCAGATTCAGGCAGCCTGTAAGCCATCCCCCGTTGTCAATCACATGCCTGTGGGTGGTGCCTACGTGTATCAGGGCAATATCTCTAGGCATTTCTTCTCTTTGCGGCAGTTATGCCGTTTGAGGCCTCATGACCTCCCACAAACATGCTTGGGAGGGCTTGTCACGCGCAGCCCGACATGCGTGCAGCAGGGATTTCTCGCCGGATGGCATTCCATGCCGTAATTACGTTCCCACATAAACGCCTTCTGTCCGAGCAATTTAACGCACGTACGAAGATGCCATCAACATTATCCAAGGCCCCCGCCCCGAGGAGTAAGGGGATTGGAAGCCAGCGTGCTGGCCCCAGTGCATATCAGGCAGTGCTCAGAGGAGCACTCAAAAAACTAGTTCTCGGAAGGGTCGGAGCCGTTGATTCCCGTGTGACATGCGAGTTTCGCGAGTTCCGCGAGTTTCCGGATCACGGATGACCAACATCTCCATGTCCCTTCCTTGCCATACTTCCCTTCGTTGTGGTCCATCTTTGCCCTTCCATTCACCGATTCTGCTAATTAATCCCAAGGTGCTCTTAACGCCTTCGCCTGCTGCACTGGGCAGCTTTGGGGGCCGTGGGCGCCGTGGGCGCCGTGCGTATGCTGGATGCACGGGACGCATTGGATGCATGGCTGGCAGAGCTTCGAGTCGGAGCATGGCGGCTTGACTCATCCCCGGCTGGTTCTCTGGAAAGTGCCTCGCAATCTTCCCGACGATCTGTCATGACCGTGGGGTTGATGCCTTGCGCGATGGATTGTGAGGTTCGCATGTGTTTGGCGGCTTGAGAGAAGCTGGGAATTGCAGGCTGCGGCCCTGTCCAGGCATGAAGCCCCGATGAACTCAATTTGGTCCCCTGAGTGCCGAGTGGGCAGATGCAATTTGCCAACACGCTGGAGCCTTCAGCAGGTTTTGCAATCTCAGGCCAAATGAGCGTACGGCTGGTGCCTGTCTCTGCTTGGCTGCGCCAGGCTGGAACAGAAGGCATCTGCGCCCAAGCAAGGCCCACTCGCGCTGAAGCTTTGCGAGCCGTCTGAGCAGCTGTGCCCTTCAGCGAGAAGGGCTGTGTTGTCGTGGCGAGTGATGTCACGGCCTTCGCAAAGCTGCGATGCCGCCCTTTCAATGGCCGGCCTACGGGCAGGACTGGGACCTTCTTCAAATCGAAAAAGAAAGACAAAACTGACAAAACGGTTTGCTTCCGCTGCACTGCGGGATAGGTGATGTGGGTCCTGCGAAACAGATGTTGACAGATACTGATAGTACAGATCTCAAAGCACTCAAAGCTGTCGTCACGTCGCATTATGTCTCCGTCGGTCCTTCAAGAGACTACGAGCTGACTTGGGATGTGCTGGTATTCGTGGCTTATGAGATGAAATGCAGCAACTGTGGCGAAAGAAAACACTGTCCGGGGGGGCGAATTCATGAATGTGCTGATCACTTGCCTAATGGCGTCTGCGAAGTTTCGAAGTTTCGAATCTCTGTATATACAAACAGTTGTCATTGGAGTATTCATTGAGGACATAAACATCATGTAAAATGCGGAGTTGTGAGCATTCCTGACCTTCGCTTCAAAAATGACCCCCTCTCTGGCTTTGCACCTGCATCTGGGTTCCACATTAGGATCCTTAAACAAAGGAGCTTCAATCTGAGAGGTTGCGTTGAGCTATCACAGACATACATCCGACAAATTCATGGATTCTGCACGATTCTGCACCCTGGGTTTTGCTGTTAAGCTTATGCGCTGCCAAGTCTGTCGAACAGATGAGGACTAGGAGTGCAGACTCTGGCTGCAAGGCTCATGAAAGCTCCCAACCTCAATTTCTCTCCTGAAAAGGGTCCGTGTGCCACGACTTGTCCCGGCTCGAGGCCAAGTTCAGGAAACCTCACGACAATTGATTTAAGTCGCTGCTCTCCTGCTCTCCTCATGTTTCTGCTGTGTGCCGTCGTGATATCGCTGCAGGCGACTGGTGTAGTCGCCGGCCCATCCTCAACATGTGCCACAAGTGGTGAAGGCAGCGCTCAGTGTGGAGAAGAGCAGGGCTCGCAACAATCGCAAGGTTTGCATGATTACGACCATGGCAACGACATTTTTGTGGCCGCTTTAAGCCCAAAGCCACAAACTTGACATCGGAGGAGGCCCTGATTGCCCCAAGTGACTACCCAGACCGATGAAAGTGCGAGACAGACCCGCTTCCGCTTGTGCAGCGCCTTGAAGGGCATTTTGCTGGGGCAATTGCGAGCTTAGTCAGGTGGCCTATTTCGGCTTCCGGAGACTACCAGACGCAGGGCTGCCAATTGGAGTTCAGCCTATCCTTGAACAAGCCACCTTGACATGATTGGTGGGGGCTACTCGTATTAGCAAGTCAAGCCCAACCCACCCCAGTATCAACATGGGTGGCTGCAAATGCATATCTTACAGTAATGATACGCTGACAGCTTGTGCAGGCGATCGCCTTGCGGAAGCAATGCCTCTTTTGGAGTCTGCAGGTAAGAAGTTGATAAGCCATGGTGAATACCATTACTTGTCCTTTGGCGGAATGGTCGCGACCTTCAATCATGGAAGCAACGACCGTAACAACATGTAACAACAGCATCGATGGAATTGGATGGAGTTTTATGATTTGAACTCCAAAGCCTTTCGCGTGTTATCAAACCTCTCATTAAGCAGGTCATTGCCAGTCGAGCCTTCATTATGACCCGAGCCAACTTTCGGACAGTGCCAGATGAGTATGTGATCACAGTCACAGGCCAGATCCGAGGCAAGGAGGTGATGGATCAAGACTTCCTGAGTTCCCTGGACACTCTGCAGTTCACGACTGCAGTCCAAAGATTTCAGACAGATGGCTCATACGTGATGGAGGTTTTTGGCGCTAGTCCCCTTTTGACTGCCCAGCTCCACGTAATCCGCAAGAAGTCCTTCTCTCCACACGTTTGTGCTCAAGACTACCGCAAGTGCCGCTTTGTGGATTTCTTTCTCGGAGGCGATGACACCG